ATTGCCAGGAATGTCTCTTGCTTCCCAAAGCTGCTGTTTACATGGATTTGAGGGTGCTGGCAGGCCATCTGCACTGAGCTTGGCCACTGCCTGTGTCACCTGGAGCCACCTCCATCCGTGCTGCATGCACTCCACTGAGTAACCCTGTGCTGTGGGTTTTTGTCTTCACACTCCCTGTGGACTGGGATTCGACTGCCAGAGAAGTCACCAGCCACTCCACATTACTCCAAGACAGCGTTGCCCCCCGGGACCACATGGCAATGAAGAAAAGAGAGAAGCACCTGAGACGTGGAGACAAAATGCTGTTGACTAAGGGTACTCGTCTGTAGCTGGAGCTCCCTGAGGAGATGAAACCCGTACAAAATCCCTGGAAGATCAGAGCATGCTGCAAAATCTTCCAGTCAACAGGCACTTTCACACCCTCCTCAGACTAAATAAGCATCATTCGGCACAGGCAGGGGTGAGGGGTGGCCGCGGGGGTGTCCTGCGGATGGGCCTCCATGCCCTCCCCACCTGGGAGCGAGGGGCAGAGCGGGGCCCTGCACCAACAGCAACCCCAGCCTTCCCAGTGCTGCCTGGCAGCCAAGCTGCTCGCCAGCATGCTGCTGCCCGGCCGCTCTCCCGCACCCTAACTAGCAGGGGACCACTCGATCGTCAGTTGACGGGGCGGCAGCACTAGGGCACCCAGGCCCTGCCAGGCTCCTGCCGAACCTTCTGTCAGCACTCCTCCTTTATCAACCCTCCGGCGGGAATATCTGCAGCCAGACTCTGCCTCTGTGTGTCTGTTAGCAGGATGAGCAAAGCTCCTTTCTATGACAGGTGCATTATCTACTGTTAATTTGTCTCTACCACGTTGTTTTAATTTCTGTTTAGGAACCTAAAAGAAGTGCTTAAATTGTGACCCGGGCAATGTTGTTCTTCCCCCTTTCCCCTGTTTTAAAATACAGAACGAACAAAACTTTAACACTGACTAAGAGAAACTACAGAATACATTGGTGAATGATAAGTTTTCTCTAGTGTAAACTGCTGGGGTCTGATGAATTTCTTTTGTGTTGCCATTTGATTAAAGAAGGGGAGCACATTTCCCAATTCTTTTTCATTTCAGTAATTTCCTTGTATTGTTTGGAATTGTTTAGGCTTTCTTAATTTTATATACATGTTGATGACATATGCCTCAAAATCTTTGTACTCCAACTATTGCCAGATGCCCTACTGCACAATGATATGAAGTTCTAGCTCAGATTGCAGTCTGGAAATGTTGCAGAGAAACAAGAGCTTCTGTTTGAGAGTAAAATCTCAAGCAGGCTGAATTTTCTTTTCCTGTTCTCTTTACCTACCTCTGCTCTGATAATATGTTATTTCTTCATACCAAAAAATGTCACGGGATATGAGAATTAATGCCACATGTATCTGCTCTTTTTTTCTTTCATTATGAGATGGAAGCAGGAAGGATACTTATGCTATTTGATGACAAGTTGATTGAACTATCAACTTCAGGACAATACAATGCATTTTTATGTGGCAGCATGACATCTATTAACATCTAGCAATATAGGTGTATTCATTACTAGCTAGGTATGTATTCTCTATTATGCTTAGAAAGGAATGCCTGCCTCCACTTTCCTTTACTAGTGTTTGAAGTCTTAAAATCAGCTAGAGGCAATAATCTACAATCTTAGACTTGCAGTGTTTTGGGAATGCAAATTTAGCTTTCAGCTAATACTGGTTCTGCCTATTGCCTCATGGGCACTAGGGCTGCTCCCCAGATAAGTCCCAGTTGTCCTCCAGATGCCAAAGTCTGCAAGGGATCACCAGGGGAGCGATGCAGGTTGATCACCATCAGTGACCATCTACTGCTGTTGCTCTTTTCTGATGACTCATATAATCTTCTTGTTTGGCTCCATTTTACAGAGGGAACAAATATTGCTTCAGTGGCAGGAAAAAGGGAGCATGAGTGATCTAAAAATGTCTGTGCTTTCTAAAGGAAGAAAACATCAAGAGGGTGTCTTTCAAGGATGATTGCTCTTCAAGTACGCTGGGTGGGATCCCATCAAGTATAGCATCTGAAATGCACTTGAGATAAATTCAGGATGTTCATATTAGGTGTCCACTTTTGTCCAAATTGATAAGCATTTAGTTAGAGTTTACACACATCTCTTAGCTACCTGAACCATAAGCTAGAGGTAGAAATCAAAGAAATAAAAAGAACTTGCAAATCCTTGCAAATTCCATCACAAGATATACTGTAAGTACGTATATTGTTTCCTTGTAATCAGTTTGCTAAAGGGAGAAATATATATGGAATGCCAAGAGAAGTTTATTTTCTCCCCAAAAGTGAGAAGATTAGTTTACTAGGATACATATTCCTATTAATTTCATTGAAAGTGGTTATAAGTAAAGGTATTCATGCAATGCTTGCAGTACAGAACATGTATTATATATAGCTTGTCAGGGACTTCTAACTGTGAAAACAGTTTAAAAAACATCTGCTTTGCTTTACTGTAAAGGCCTGTTCACATTTCAGGGAAAAGTCACAGAAGAAATGGTAGCAAATAGGTGAAAGAAGGAAAAAGTGTATTCTTTGTATTTTCTGTTCCATTGTAAAACAAAAGCAAAAAAAAAGTTGCATGCAAAAGAATTATGTCATAAAATGTAAAGTCTTATGGTTCAGGATCAAGAATAATAAAAGCAAACCCAAACTCCTGAATGATACCTGGGAAAAGCAGAAATTAATGTAGATAATCAGTTGATTTCAGAGAAAAGAGGACACTAAAAGCAAAGTCTCCATCAGATATACGAAGACAAATAGGAAGGTTTTTATCAGTATGCTGGGGAAAAAGTAGTACTCGGTAGAAAGTCCATCTGTTAATAGATCAGGATGGAGATTAAATTGACAGTATGGTGGAAACAGTGAACTTGCTTTTGCATTCATTTGAAGAAAAATAATAAACAAAGTGGATGGAAAAAAGCAGTAAATGCAAAAGGTAATAACCTACTAGAAAAAGAAGTGAAACAAGATACAGGAATCTGGGCACATATGGGTCACCTGGATGACACACATCCTTAGGTGTTAAAGATACTGTTTCCTGAACAATTTTCTGCCACTTAAAACTATTTGAAAACCGTGAGCAACTGTGGAAGTGCTGAAAGATGGAAGGAAAGGAAATATCACACTGCTTTTCTAAAACAGAAAGCAGATGAATTCTAGCAACAGTCACACTAGGTCCAAAGGGTAGAGCCCATAGGATCACCCCCCTCCATCCTTTACCCTCTTGTCCCTCTTATAGTGTAAGAACGAACCTCAGCCTCTCAAGCCCAAGTTTACCTTCAGTGATGTTAGATGTAAGTGCTT